ATGGGCCTTCAAAGTACTTTCATCCATGTATGGTCCTTTCAAGGATTTAACATTAGTAGTAGGTGGTGGCATTGTATTATTGCAGGTTTGCCAAGAACAGCAGCCTTTAAGAGAGAGTTGTCACTGTTGATACAGCCTACTCCCCAGGAACCCCAGGAAGCAGCAATGGCATGAGCACTGCTGTTTTGGAGCCCACCCCCAGAGTCCTTCAGTTTAAAGCCCATCTCACCAAATTGGACTGCCTGATGCCAAAGATTTTTTGCCCTTCTTAGACAGTTGTATTCATTCCCTCCCTAACATTCTATAATTGTTAAAGCACAACCTATTGTTATAAAACCAAAACCTTCCCGATGGCACCAGCCATGAATATCATACACCGGTTTAATTGCACGTAACATATAAGATGGATTACATTTGCTTCTACAGAAAAAGGAGAATTCTTTTTCCTTTATGTATCTCGAGTGTCACCTGCAACTAGTAAATATTGGTTGACTTGTATCAGCTGTGGGAATGAAGCCTTTCTCACTCACTCTTAATGTAATTATTTCACAATGCCTGTGGAAGGCAACCACTTCCATCACTAGTCTACATTTTCTTTGTGAAATTATAGTGATAATAGTGGGAGGTGGAAATTGGACTTTGAGACTTCTAAGCTTCTAAGCTACATCTGAGCTGATAGGGGTGACTTAGCTGTTTGCTCCAAGTTATCTTAGGATCTGCAATCACAACAACAGCATCATAACAGGGAATATAGCCCTATAATGCTCATGTAAATGGTTTCTTTGCTAACCCAAGCGTTAATATTCTATGGTTCTATTTCCACAGAAGCTGCTGGTCAACTGTGCAACATGCCTCACACTTTGTATTGAGAAGTTGGGCATTTAGTCCACAAATCAGCCAATCTATTAATTTCACCTTTTGTGAAATGTGTATCTCTCTTTCTGGGGTGTGGAGGTTCAAAAAAGAGAGTATTGAGAGTAGTATTGAGAGTACTGCTGGAGCCAACACCAAGAAACTGGAAGAAGAACGGTTTGGTAGGAAGAGCCAACATATTTAACATATTTAATTCAATCAAGTGACATCAACTGGCTTCTAGGTTTAGGTCTGTGAAGGCAAAAAGCAAACAAACAACAACAACAAAACAAAAACATGACAGTGCTCCTGCACAGAAATCCTTATTGTTTAGCAAAAGAGATTAAGGGCCCCTAGAATTGTCTTTTTTTACTCAAGCTCTATTTGATAGCATAATAACAGATGTTATAGCTCCCTACGAATGACAGCTCTCTTCTAAGGGAATTGTCTATGAATTCAGTCACAAACATTACACATCCTTCTCCCAGCTATGGCAAACCATGACTGTCTCACAGCTGCTCTTCCTTCTACACCATCTCCTCTGGGGCTAAGCTGTAACCACGTAAAAACATTTACTAGTTCTAAGCAAGTGGTTAACAGCTTCAAAGCTGATGCTGCACAGCGCTAATTGTTTGTTGCTGGGAAATCTCATTTCAAAAGCCGGACCCCTGGGGTCACTTGGCACTTCTGCAAGATCAGGCGTTACAACCTGCCCCAGAAACCGCAGTCACTTCCCCACTCTAGCGCCTTTTCTGGTTTCCCTCTTCCTTATTGATACATTGCCATGGGAACAAACCTTGGGAAAATATACTCAGAAGCACCTGATTTTGATTTTAAATGTTATCTTGTCAATTGTCACCTTTCCAGCTCTTCATTATGTAGGGGGGGATTCTTTTCCTCCATCTACCACTAGATGGTATTGCTTCAGCAGGCGCCTTACCTGGCCTGCTCTTCACCCTGGCTAAAATGCAGATCCCCAAAAAATCAGGGGCCTCGGCTCATTCGCTGCAGAGCATTCCATCAGCACAGACTCTGTTCTCAGTCTGAATGTCCAAATATGTTCACTATGCCAAATGACCCCAAATCAACCGAGTTCAGCAGTTACACAACAGGTTGTGTTTTCAGGTTGCTTTTAAACTTTCACAGGCAGGCTGCGCTGCAAATCACAGAGACCAGATAAAGGGGCTGCAGTGTGAAAAGGAAATGCTCCAAGCACTTGCAAGTGGGTAGCCAGAGTCACCAGGCTAACAGGATTTCTTGTTGCATTTGCTGGACAAACAGGGTTCCTTTCAGTGGCAGGAAGTCATAGAATCCTGGAATGGTTTGAGTTGGAATGGTCCTTAAAGATCATCTTGTTCCAATCCCCTGCCACAGGCAAGGACACCTTCCACTAGACCAGGTTCCCCCAAGCACTGTCCAGCCTGGCCTTGAACACTTCCAGGGATGGGGCAGCCAAAGCTTTTCCGGGCAACCTGTGCCAGTGCCTCAGCATCCTCAGAGGGAAGAACTTCTTGCATGGAGCTCACTGCTGGGGGCCGGAAGGGTGTCTCGGGAGAGGAATTGCTCTGTACAGGCTTTTGTTTTTATATTCTTCAAGCATCCCCTGGCGATTGTTGCTGAGGACAACAGCTTAGAATAGCAGATCTTTGGTCTCAGCTAAACTGGCAGCTTCTTGTGCTTGCAGCATAGTTTCTGCTTAAGGGCAAATCTTATATTTGCTCTATAATCCAGAGGTAAGGCAGGTCTGTAATTTGCCTGAAATTTCGGAATACTTGATGTATGAAACCTGAAGCAAACAGACAACACTTTGTATGCTCCAGATCTTTTAAATAACTGACACAAAAATGCAAATGGAAAGCTTTTTTCCTCTCACTATTGCAAAATTTTTCTAATAGTTTTGTATTTCCCATATGTGCTCATGAAAGAAAAGCAGTTAAACATGCAAGCAATCATTCAGCAATATTTTTATTAGTCTGGCAGACGAAGATATGAAGTAATTTTACATTAAAAATTAATGACTTGGGCTATTAAGCCTTGAATCGTTTGCTACTTTCTAATGCTCAATATGCAGCTTTATGGTAAGTTTATTTGATGTGAGTCTTATTCCATTTTTATGTTTCTTTGGTTTGTTGTTAGGCTGCTTTTCCTACTGTGGAAGCAAGCAGGAAAATCAAACCAGAAGTAGAAAGAACATCATGTATATAGTGATTAAATGTTCACCGCACCTACATTAATATTTTTCAGTCAGCTGATTTATATCTTAACTATGCACTGATTGTTTTGCCAAATAGCTTTTGTTCACTCTGTAATCCATAAATAACCAGAACCTACTCACACATTCAGGTTGGATTTAATGAGTGGATAGCTGGAGTTTAATTAGATGTTTTTAAGAACTGGTTTGAAGTTTTAAGCTCATGTTACATTGCAAATCCTCCTTCCGTCCCCATCCAACTGGGCAAGGGCTGGTCTACACCTGGTCTACACCAGCCCCCTCATGTGCCTCCCATGCAAATTGTCTCTCTTGCTGGCTCAGGAAGCAGTAGAATTAAATGAGAACTGTATTGTTTTAAAAGGGTGTAAAATTAGCTGGCTTATAGTGAAAGTGTGACCATGAGTGCCAGACCTTCCTCTGTAAGCACCGAACAGCCCAAACTGTGCTGCATCTTAAACAGGAGGTAGCCAGTGGCTAAGCTAAGTTCATTGCCGAGGGAAAAAGAACAAAACATACCAAAACCAAACCCCCCCAAAACTGCTTCTAAAGAAATTAATCTTCTTTCTCATCTATCCTGGAGAAAATATAATAATAAGATCTCACTGTTCACAGTCAGTGGGGAGAAAATCACTGCTGCAGACTGTTGCTCCTTCCCTCCCACCTTTACACACTGTAGCTGCTGGTGCAATGTCATGTCCATCGCCTCTAGCCCAGACCAGGGAAATTCACCCTGAGCCTGAGTAAGCTCTGAGAGGCAAGCTCACAGCAGGAATTACCAGAACAAAGCGCTTATTTCCTGACCTTGCTGCTTTCAAGGAAAACAACCCTCTCTTACATTTCTTCCCTTCCAGGCTCATAGGCAGCAGGATGCCCATGAGAGAGGCCATCGTGCTGTGCCATGTGCTATTTGGCACTGCACAAAGAAGCAGGACAGGCTGCAGGAAGACGTGAGGAAAGAGCAGTGCATGGAGTTAGTGACTCACATGATTGAGATTTCACATGGCTGAGCGGTAAGATAGCAACATGGTTTTACCATAAAAGGGGCAAATATGTTATTGCCGTGATAGATGAGATTCAATTAAACAGCAACATTCAATTAAACGGCTTCCAGGGCTATTGTCTGAAGGCTTGCAATGCTTTTTGTGTTCGTGTCAGAACTGTTGAGCACAAACAGATGAGACTGATTGCACAACACTGGTCTCCTGTTGAAAAGCTGTGTTCAAGTCCACCCCTTGGTGAATATTTAAGCAAAGTAGCTTCAACAGGAACATGAATAGCTTAAACAGAGTAGCATTGTGGAGATGCTTAGTGCTCAGGCTACAGAACAGTGCAATATGCCCCAGTCCTTGGTTACACTGGGGACTGTTTCACTGAGATTTTGACCAGAAACTTCATCTTTGACTGGTAAAGGAATTTTGATTAAAGTTAGTGCCAGGAAAGCAGGAAACCTTTAAGAGAACAACTCTTTCCTAACAGGAGAGCATAGGAAAACTTTACGGTTTCCCTTTAGAAAATGCCTTAGCTCTTGCCTGGCTTTTTTTTTTTTTTGTTGTTTTCTTCTCATTTATAGTGTTTTATACTGGTGAGTTCATCAGAACACATCAAGAGCGTGGTTTTCTGCGGCTCCAAGACCACTGCCACCTGCTGCTAAGCCCAGGACCTTCACGCAAGTGGCGGTGTGGTGCTCGGCTGCGGTTTCGCCGTGCACCGACAACTTCCATCTCCCTCAAGGAAAGCACTCGTAAGCAGCACGGCCTCTGCTGCTGTCCCAAGCCCGCACTCGGTAGTTCTCTGTGCGCAGACAACGCGGCCCGAGCACAACAGACGAGGCGGCAGCAGCCCGTACCAGCAGGGCAGCCGCTAGGCGCTCAGTTGCTATGGAGACGGCTGCGCTGCCTATCTGCTCATGCGCGGGCCGCTCCGGCGAGCTTCCGGTAGACCAGGAGCTTATGTGGAGCCGGGCGCGGAGCAGTGCAGATGGATCGTTCCGTGCCGCTGGTGGCGGGTGTGGGTGCGGTTCCCGTGCCCGATTTCAGGCAGTAAGTCCTTGTGAGGGGAAGGAAAAGGCAAGGCTTGACTTGGCGGCGGGAGGGATAGGCACCCCTGCAGTGTAGCAGGGCCTGGTGGCAGGCCGCAACAGGGCCGCTAGAAGGGGGTTCTGCTAGGCCGCGGCCGGCGGGGGTTGCTCCCGGTGGCCCGGAACCGCCCGGGGTGGCGGTAGGAGAGGGTGCAGCCTCCGGGCGGTACTCGGGAAAGAGTGATTGCCCGTCTCGCGCCGCTGGCGAGATGAGGGAAGGGAGGAGTAGGGGAGGCCCCGGGTTTGCTCTGGCCGTGCCGCTTAGCCGCGGGCAGCCTCAAAACCCCGGCTCGGAGGTTGCTGTGCAGCTAGAAACTCCGCCTTGGGGCCGGGGTTAGACACGAACGTTCGCTTTTGCTGCGTAGGTAAGTGATGAAAGTATGTCAGTGTAAGAAAAGTGTATGTTAACACTGGAGTTTTTAACTTTGCTAGTAAGCTGGACCTCATCTTACTGTTCTATGGGTAGGGGTTAAGTAGAGAATAGTTTCTAATTTCTGCAGGGGAAGTTTGAATGGGTTTATGCTCTCCATCCCGACAGACCTTGAGAAAAACTCTAGTAAAGGAAAGTTTGTAAATATCTCGTTTTTTGGTTTTGTTTTGGGTTTTTTTGTTTGTTTGTTTTGGTTTAAAGCTACTTAATATGCAGTCTGAAAGTACGGCAGTACATGACGAGGGAAAAGTGCTGTTGGCTTTAGTGTAAAAGTTGTGTGTGGCTGCACATCAGTCTTTTGGTGGCTGCTAAAGAGCGAGTTCTTGTGGCTTTTTGGTTTGTTTTTTTCCCTCTTGCTCTTATTTTTCCAAGGAAATGTTAAGAATAAAATGTGATTTCAAGCAATATACTATGGCACAAATGCATTTGGATAAAACATTTTTAAAATACTTATACAAGAATTGCTGTGGATGTGCCTGGAAATTTTAAGAATTATGTATCCCTGACTTGAGTTGGGGTTTATGCCTGTTTGTGTGTCAAAGTTTTAAGGACGCATGCCCTTGAATCCAGTAGATTTTGACAGTCGGAAAGGTATTGCTTGCTTTGCATGTTTACTTCAGCATGAAATAACATAGTCAGCCAAGCAGAGTAAGTGAAAGCCGTTGAAAGCACACACAAAACCAAGCTGTATGTAGTGTGTTGTAAATACAAAACCTGTTCTAGCAGACCACTTTCAGGGAGAACTTACCAAGCACATAATCCTTCACTGTGATTCTTTCGCAAGGTCTTCTATGTCTATGAAGGTCTCAAGGTCTGTCTTTTAGGTTAAGGTTTAGGTCTGTGAAGGAAAAAAGGTTACTGATGTTTTGGTGTATTGGCTCTGTGCTCTGATTATTGCTACAGTTATCCCAACTTTCTTAGTCAAAACTAAGAAATTATTTCAAATAGAGGAACAATAACTAATAAAAAGGAACTTTGTTTCCAACAGTAAGCCATTAAAGTCATTCTGCGTACTTCCCTCTGCACCCGAGCATGCAGGATTTGTCATTTTCCTAGACTTGTAGTTCTTTTTCAAAACAAGATGGAACTTGGCAAGGTTTAAGGCAGAATGCTGTCATATGACAAGCATGTATCTAATATTAGATGTTTAATAAGGATGTAATAATACACTGATAAACATACTAATGTGAACCCCCTGTGTTATTAATGCTTGCAAAACAATAACAGGGAAAAATCTAAAGACTGGTTTTAATCTTGTCTGTGAGCTTTGACTGGCAGAATCATTAAATTGTTTTGAATGCTGTGATTTTAATGTTTCAGTCAGCAAATGCATACTCCAAGTCTTTATCACTTCCAAATGATATAAGTACTCAATTCTAGAAGAGTAATTGGCTTCTGGTTGGGAGGGGTTCTTGTCCTGTTTCAGGTGTATATATTATGACTTTCTTCTGTGTGTGACTTTTCTTATTTATTTCAGAAATGAGGGTTCATTAACATCAACTTTACGAACACTTCTGTTCTTCACAGCTCTAATGATTACATTACCTGTTGGGCTATATTTTTCATCAAAGGCTTATATATTTGAAGGTAATTCTGTTTCTGCCAATTAGCATTACTGTTAAAAGAAAGAGGAAAAGAACAGTCCTCTAATAGCGTCTTTGTTTTCCTTCCTGTTCTGAATATTTGTTTCCTTATGCAGAGTAATGGCCTTGTAATGTCTAATTAGAACAAAAAACTATACAAATAGTTTGGGCATCCTTGCCTGCATTGTGGTCTTGGTTTGTATTGCACACAGGTGCATCTGTTCCCCTTACCTAAAGGTTATCTAACACCACCCTGCAGCAGACTTTTGTCCAAATCACCAGGGCTATGTTTCCTGCAAGTGCTGCAAACTAATTGCATAGTCAAGATAACTGTTGTTTATTGGGTTTATTTTGTAGCTTTTTAAAACATACCTGTAATGTAAGTGTAAAGCAGTTGTCATATACCCAGTTTCAGATACTAAATGTAGTTGCTTGTAGAGTTTCCTTTTAATAATAAGAAAAAAGATACCTTAGCTGTTTGTTTGGAGCAGTTCTATCAAACTGCTACCAGCCAGCCACATTCTAGCCTTGGTTCTGCAAGGCTTTGATAACTTCCTAATACTGTAGGAGAAAAGCGTCTTCCTTCAAAAGTGCTCTTTTAGAGATCAGTTTGTGAATACATAACTGAGCTGTTACAAGGTGATTCTTCTTTGGTGTGTGCTGCTTTATGTGGTTCTGAAGGCTGAAGCTGAAAGCTTTTTAAGTAACTTTCAAGATCCATTTTCACCCATTCCCCCTGCTCCCTGAGATGTAGCAAGCTGAGCCTTAACTTTGCTGTGTCAATTAATGGCAAGATCTACCAGCACTGATAAGGCTGGGTTTGTGTTTGGAGAGTGGTGGTTTTCGTGTGCTGTGATGAATTAAGAGAAACTATTTGTTTTTTTAATTTGGTCTTCTGATACTTGAAGGCTTCTTACATATGATATACATTCATGTGTGTTAACTGGTGAGGAATTACTGGTCTATGGTCTAAATACAAAAAGTAGGAGTCCTTTAAATTTAATTGTTGCTTTACCATTATATCCTGTTACAGTAGCAAATAAATTACATCCCCGCTCATTTTCCTGCCCCACAAGAATGTTATACTTTTGAAAAAAAGGATGTTGAGTTTTATTTGGTGCTGAAAGACAGTACCAGAAAAAGTGAATGTTACAGAACTCTAAGCTGTTGACTTCAAAACCACGGTATTTAATCTTAAATATTGGATAATTGCAGTCTCCTCTATTCCCAAAATAACTGCAAGGTCTGTAACTAGAGTGGTAAATTCTTTCCTGTGATTCCTCCAGAGCTCAGTCATTTTGATAAATGTAACTTTAGTCTACAGGAAGATATGTGACTTGGTGTTTCAGTGTTCCTAATAACTAATGCTCTTTGCTTTCTTTTATTTTCTCAGGTACCTTAGGAATGTCGGACAGGGACAGCTATTTTTATGCGGCCATAGTTGCTGTCATTGCTGTTCATGTGGTACTTGCTCTCTTTGTATACGTAGCATGGAATGAGGGCTCTCGACAGTGGCGGGAAGGCAAACAGGACTAGGATGAAGATCATTGTCATCTGATGCCTACAGACTGTAAATCAGATTTCTGTGAGCTGAAGAAAAAACATTCTTCACAATGTATAATACAGATGTACAAAGAGGAGGCTAATGCCTTCGCTCTGGGTAGAGTAAGACTTGTGCTCGTCATGAATGTGAAACGGTATTTTCTCTAATGCTGATGGAAGTTGTTCTTTAGCAGGCCTCTGCTACATGGAGCTGAGGTCTTCACCTGGAATTAAAATGAAATCATTATTTATTTAAAAAAAAAACAAAACAAAACAAAAAAAATGCAAAAAATAATCCTGTAGCTATCTTTGTCATTCCTAGTACTTTTCTGGTTTGCTTTGAAAATAATATTGTCGTGAAGCAAGCATTTCTGAGTGTAGAAGTAATTGCAGGAATAGAATGGGTTGGAAACTCAGGTGATGTCTTTCTAAAGTGAAATACAAAGGGTTTTCTGGTTTTGTTTTTGTGTTTGCTTTTTTATTATTTTCAGATGTAATTTTTTATTAAAGTGTAAAATTCGGTCTTTAATTTCCTTTTAGGAGGACTGTTGTATTACTTCATTGCTTATCTTTCCAGCCTTCTACAGTTAATGGTGATAATGGAAAGGAAATGGCATAGCATGTTTTTTGTGTCTGCATTTATATGTGTTCTTGATAATTGCTAAAGATTGTAGTTGGATATCCTAGGGTGAAGTGGTATCAGTAACAGGTATAAGCCACTCTCATGGATAGTAGAGGAATGAGCAAGAGAAAACAAGCTGTAGCCACGTGTCCTTTAAGAAGCAGAACACAAGAATGATCATATGGAAAATTTGCTTCTATTCATAAATATGAACTTGTGCACTGTGACATGATACAATATGTTGATTGTTTTCTTTTTTCCTTAGTTGTATGTAGACACTCTTTATAGCCAAATCATAATGAGATTTTTGTGTTGCAGGATAACCTGAATTTCATTCCACTGCTGTACTGTTGTTGGCAAGCTTTTAGTGTGTAGATAAAACATTTCTCCTAAAGTTCCAGCAATGCATGGAACTTTCCTAACACTGACGAGTGCTGTTAGGCTGCTGTGCTTTAGGTGGTTCTGTTAGCTGGAGTTTTCCAATTTGTTTTAGTTGAACCATTTTTGGAGGTCTTCTACTCAGTATCAGCTGGGAATGTTTTGGTGCTACATTTGTCCATGGTAAAATTTTTCCTCAAGCCTTTGTGTCATTTATGGATTATGTTCCCAGGTCTCCTTCCTCCCATCTCTACACAGTCTCAGCTCTGCACAAGTATCCTACACCATGTCACACTCATGCAAATAGCTTTTTACATTATGTTGCTGAAATGTGAACTTTTCTCACCAGGAGCCCATTGTCAAGTTGCCGCCAGCAAACTGAAGAAGGGTCTTGTAGCGTTTGAAATCCAAATTTAGGTTGTAAGCTGGCTTGTAGTGGAGAATAAGTAGGAACATAGCTGTTGTGCTCTGCTACCTGGATCTTGTGCTATATGTGTTTTATATTTCACATACCAGAATCCCTAGATTATTTAGTTACAAAAATGTGAAAATTTTGTGCTATAAGAACAAGCACTGTATTGTCTCAGTTGTTGGGGTAATGAGCTGAACATTTATCCATCCATTGGAGGATCTTCTGTAAAGGCAATGCTTTGATCCAAAATGTTCTCCTTGGAAAAAAAAGGCAATGCACTACACACTGCATAGGAGCAGCCATGGAATGGGTTAATGTTGCCTGTGCCTGAGAGCTGAAACCACCACTCCAGGTAAATGGTGCAATGGAAACAGTTGAATATTGGAATTACATCACGACTAGAGAGCTCGAAGAACAGGAACTGCAGACATGCAGTGTGGAGAGTACATGGAGTAAATGATGCCCTACTGAGACTCCTGTTGTGCCTTATCAATACTAAGGTTGTTGATTTAGACGTTTCAGGAGCTATGTTGGGGTCTCTTCAGGTTGCATGTTTCCTACCATGTATCTGATGTTCCTGTTAATGCAAAATGAATTCTCATGGAAGCTTTAAAATAGTTTAATGACCATTGTAATACTGTGCTATATTGGGATTGCATGGCAAGGTTTTGTTAGCAGGGAGGCTACAGGAGTGTCTTCTTTGAGAAGATGCCCGAAGCTTCCCCCAGTCTCAGAGACCCTCTGCTGGCCAAGGCTGAGCCCATCAGAAACACCATCTGTATTACTGTCCATCTTCATAAAAATTTTGGTGTATTTTCCAAAGCTATAACTGAAACAGTAGTGGGATGGGCTGTGTTTTCTGTGCATCAGTGATAGTGGTAGCACCTCTGGGTTAACATATTTAAGAAGCAGAAAAAACTGTGCAACAGCAGCTGGAGAGAGGAGTGAGAATATGTGAGAGGGACAGCTCTGCAGATCCCAGGGTCAGTGAAGGAGGAGGGGAAGAGGTGTGCCAGGCACTGGAGCAGGTACTTTCCTCAAGCTCATAATATAGACCATGGTGAGGCAGGCTCTCCCCATGCAGCCCATAGAGGTCAATGGTGGAGCAGATACTGATCTGCAGCCTGGGGAGGACCACATCAGAGCAAAGGGGTGCCTGAAGGAGGCTGTGACCCTGTGAGGAGCTGACACTGGAGCAGTCTGTTCCTGAAGAGCTGCAGCCCATGGGAAGGACTCACATCAGAGAAGTTCATGGAGGACTGTCTCATGGGAGGGACCCCCTGCTGAAGTGGGAAAGAGATGGAAGGAGCAGCAGAGACAATATGTAATGAACTGATCACAACCCCCATTCCTCCTGCACCACTGGAGGTGAGGAGGTGGAGAAAACTGGGAGTGAAGTTGAGCCTGGAAGGAAGGGAAGGGTGGGGGAAGGTGATTTAAGATACAGTTTTTATTTCTGATTACTCTGATTTGTTTGGCAATAAATTAAACAAATTTCCCCAAGTCAAGTGTTTTGCCCATTATGGTAATTGGTTAGTGATCTCTCCCTGTCTTTATCTTGACCCATGAGCCTTGTGTTGGATTTTCCCTCCCTTGTCTGGCTGAGGAGGGCAGTTGATGGAGCAGCTTGGTGGGTGCCTGCTATCCAGCCAACATCAACCTAGTACGTTACAGACATGGAAACTGATGAAAGTTAGGAGAGGTTAATGTTCTGTTGTTCTTTTTTATTTTCTATAAAATACCAATGTAAAATTTTTACAGTGTAGTACTTTAAATTGGAACTATAAATTTGTTCATTTTATTACTAGGAATGGATTTGAGACAACTGTTAAGATGAAACTGGGAATACTTGGTCTACATAAACCATTCAGTACTGGAAAATTGCCACTTGCGTAGTGGTCTGTCCTGTGTTTGCATAGGTTGACAGTTGGGCAGTTTACCTAAAGCAAGAATTTTATCTAGGAGTGAGCAAGGACCTTGAGACCGAGATTGTAGCAGAAATTTTCTGCAGTATTTTCCAAGGCTACAGACAGTTAAGGCACTGGAGGCACTGAGAAGTGGAAAATCGGTGGCTAACCAAAATTAGGTTAGTTTTCTTCTGTACTTATAATGGGGGGCTTTTTTTAAATGCCTGCAGAGCATAGTGGTGGGTGCCCAGCCTGTGAGTGTGCAGGTGGTCATCTTTGGTTTGTGCTTAGAAATGCCTGACATAATCTGTTAACTGCTAGCACTGAGTAGGAAATCTCTAGAGAAAATGGTGATGTTGGTGATCACATTGTTAATTTTGTCATACACTAGCATTGATTAATGTGCATGAACTGTACAGTATATTCAAAACAAAATACTACTTACCTAGTTTGTTGTGTAAGAAAGGGCTTAGTAATAACTATCACTTAACATTGAAAAACAAGCAACCCAGAAAAACCCAGAAAAACCCAAACAAACCCACACTGACCCCTCAAAACCGCCATCTCCTTCATCATTCTCACAGTGCAGGTTGTTGGATGCTGTCAAACTTACAAGAAGCTAAAGGATGTAATTTTGCCACGCTGCTAATGCAGCACGACAAACTAGAGGGCAGATTTTTCTGCCTGATTTCTGTGATGGGAGAGGAGAAGTTGTGCTGGCTCATGAACAGTAAAATGCTTGATGTTACTGCTGAGAATAGTTCAGATGAGAGGAGAATGGAGAGGACCCTTAAAGTAGCAAACTAAGTGACACGTATTACAAAATACTGTAATATGGGTATGACTGGAATTTCGGTAGGCTGCAGCCCATAGGAGGGGGAAGAGGTCCTGTGGAGCAAAGGAATGAACTGGGGAAGTGTGGTGGAGATGAGGCAGGGTGAGGACCAGAATGTACTGGCACAGCTTTGCATGTGATGACTGAGGTACCATGTGCTTTTTGTGCAGAAGTGTTTATTCCACTGTTCTCCAGGGGATTATGTAGAGCCACTGATCTGAAATATTAAATGTAAATCATACAAAATGGCAAGCCAATTCCATTTTTAACTTCCAGCTGAAGCTGTTTATGGGTTGACAGCTTTGGAGCATGTGATCTGGGCCACACATACTCAGCTTTGTCTTGTACAGACTAGCATTGTTACTGGCTCTGAGTCATCTGTTAGGGCAGGGTCAAGTGCTTGGTGTGTAAATATTTCTTTAAAAATAGCAAAGAGCAACTGTCATTCTAATGTTTCATTAGCTCTGATCAGCCGTCAGGAGGAACAGGCTTCTTGTTTCAAGTTCACAGGGAAAAGTGCTTGCTGTTTCCCTGCAAGGGGAGGCTCTTATGTGCTTGAATGGGGCTTGCAAGAAGGAAACACTGTGTACTTTGGGCCATCCACAGTCATTCTCTTGTGCTGAGGAATGACCAGGGAGAAGACCTTGGAAAGTCACGTAATTGACTTGGTGATTGTCCAGCTGAATGCCTGGGACTGAGTTTTCTTGGAGCTGATTTGCTGTGCTGTTTCACAACCCCCTCTGTCCTACTCGCTTTGGATAGTGCATTCTTGCCGAGATGATTTGCTGTGGATGCACAGTGTTCCCAGGAGTGATTGTGTGCTTACTTGTAACGGCTTTTACACTAGTGCAGACTACTCATGGGCCTGGAAAAAAAGCTGTTGATTCTTATAATTGGCACATGGCACACTGTGGTTTAATATTTCTAGTGTAAATGGCCCAGGGCTTAGGCACAGGGGGGTGTTATTAATTAAAACTGTTTTAATTGAAGGATGATTTATAGCAGAGAGTTAACAGCAGTCAAAAATCAAAACCTGCTGTGGGTGTGGGCCTGTGCGGCAGGCACCACTGAGGAGCCAGTTAATACCTTTGTAGTTCTTCATCCTCAAGATGCTGTTTCTCTTGACTCATAACAGCTCTGCTGATGCTGGAGATCATGTAGAAGTACCAAAGTTTAGCTCCACAGCTGGAATGCTTCATGAAGCTCTTTCAAGGGAATGAGTCATTGTGTAGATGGTTTTGTGTCTGACAGAGAAGACAGAAGAACAGACTTGAGTCTCAAACCTTACCACAGTTTGAACCCTTTTGTAGAGCCATTCTATAGAAGTATCAAACTTCGGATGAGTCTTAATTTGAAGCATTATGATAGAGCTGTTTTCTTTAGAAGCTTGCATTGCAGCCTGTGGGGTTGGTCCCTGTTCTGAAGGTCCTGTCACCTTTGCTGAACCAAGAGGATCTTTCTCCATCTAGCCTGGGTCTCCTTTAAGAACCCTGTGCAACTCTCTTCCCACCTTGCCAAGTGAGAGTGGCTCTGTTCCCTACCATGAGAACATTTATCCTCGCACTTCCCTGTGTGCTCATGCTCCTTCCATGCCACTCCATCACCACCCCTGCCTGACTCCTGTGAACACCTGCAAAGGTTGGACTTGATCTTAATGGTCTCTTCCAATCTAAATGATTCTATGGTTCTGTGTCATTAATACAGCATTTTTTTCTCCCGATGTAACATATACTTTCACCAAAAAATCCAAACCAAAGGTGATTCTGATGATTTGGGTGTTTGAACCGGTTTGATGCTTTGTGTGTTAGGTGCAGTTGTGTTTAAATGTGGAGTGGCTGTAGCTCATAATCTGCAGGTTTAGCCCAGCATCCCTGAGACTTTCTGTGTGGATATCAAATTCTGTGCTCCATGTGTTTAATAGAGGGTCCTCTGTTTGTCTTAACGCTTAGTGGCTTCTGCAGGGTTATTAGAAATAATCCTGAATAGAAGCTGTTTCACAGCTCCTAGTTTTACTAAGTGAAAACTGGATCTTTATTTTTTGTACGTGAAATAAAATTGCAATGGCACCTCTCTTCATGGTAATGACTGCCTGATCTGTTATGTTAAGCCAGTTCCTTTATTTTGAGCTTGCATTTATTTCTAACCCATTATAATTTTGCAAGCAATAGCAAGTTCCTCATTCTTTTTAGCACTTCTCTCTCTTTACCTCTCCTTGCTATTTGTCAAGTGCTTTTGATGGGAGCAAATATTTTCTATAGTGTGACATCTGTTGTGATTGCTAGTGAAGATTACATTGAGCTATGTAGGGAGAGATGAGGTTTTTATGCTCTTGGTGGGGATTGTGCTTTCCTGCCTGTGAATTTTCAGAATTATTAGT